GATGTCTCCTCAAAAGATAGTACATGTAAACGTGAATATGTGTATCTATGCAAACATGTGCACAAAGTCCTTAATTCTCCTGCTCACCTGTTATTATTTCAAAATAATGAAATATTTGTGAAATATCGCCAGGCAATCTACATTGTCACCAAGGGGAGGTGCTTTGATAACCCAAAAAAACAAGGATTGAGTCCCTACTACTTATACACGTTATTTTGTGCAATACTTAAAACAAAGCTGTGAAGTATTTTCATTTTATAGCCAAAGGATTGAAAAACACAAAGCACAGAGAAGATAAATGATTCGCCAAGGTCATAGGTTCAATCAATGTTAGTTGCCAGGATTCAAAGCTCCGTCTTGTGTGTGGAGATCCTGTGTTTTCAACTCTCACACCTTCGTTGGCTGACAATCAGATGAGAATCTCAGCCCCGGCATCCTGTTTTTTAGAGAGCCAAGACTTGTGACAAAGTGTGGGGGAGCTGGGAAGTGCCAGTCAAGCCCTGGGCACTGTGTGGAGTCGGGAAGGAGCAGCGGACCTCACTCACGGTGCGCAGCGAAGGCAGGTGGGGGCCCTGGAGGACCGACTGCAAAGAAACCTTGAAGTCTGAGGTTAAAGCCCTGTGATTTCTCACCTTTCCCCCCACTTCATTCCCCTTCCACACACCAGCCAGGCACCCACATTACTCCTTCAGACATAAAAGCCATCTCACCCCAAATTTTCTATTTCCCTTTCCTTAAATTTCTGTCCAGAACCCAATCACCTGTTTAATTACATTAGCTTAACAGATGTCAACTTTAGATGATATTATTTCACTCTCCTCCTTCCTTTATTTTTAGTATATTAAGATAGGTAGGTCAATAAGTATTGCCTCAGATAAAGAAAATGTTCTCCTTATAGAGATTAGAACATCTTACATAACAAAACTGGTTTATATGGTTTTCATCATAGTTTCATTTAACAAAATTGTACCTATGCTTACTTCAAAACACTGATCACATAAAGCGAGTATCTGTAGCATGCTATTCTGACATGTAATTTGACTGGTCATATGGTAATTGCACTCAATTGGTTGTATAAGAAAACTGGGTGTTTTCTTTTGTACAAAATAAAGAAAAAAAGAAAGAACAACAGAGGGTGGATAATTAAATTAATTCTCACTCTCTTCAGTATGCACAATATAAAATTTCTTAGGGGATGGTGATGAAAGGGATTTCAATGGAAAAGAAAATCCATAATTCATATACCATCTCCCCAGTCAATTCTCAGAGTGACCCTTCAAAGCAAAGCCTGTAATTGTTCTTCAGCATTTTGACTATCACAGGTTTATTTTATAAATAAAACTTATACAGACATAACCATCTCCCAACACAGGGACATTGAGCTTATTCTTGGGCTTTGTGCAAGGTGTGGGGGGTGCACTTGGATGGACACAGATGTTCCCTCTTGTTCCGACCTCAGGCCCAACTGGTCACAACTGCTTTGTGTCTCTGAGGATTCACAAGGTTTGTAACAAAACGTTTACCATCAAAGACATTGTCTGATTTACTGCGATTGGTACCTACCACAGTGCCCTGGAATAAATTACAGAAGGAAGGGAGAGAGCACATGAAAACTATAAACTATAAACAATTTGCCTGCAAAGAAAATGAAGATTTAAGGATAGATTTTCTCTACCAATGACTCAAGCCTATCTTTGAAGTTCTCCCCTTTCCATCAGGAAGAAACTTGAGAAAACAGAATCATTTCCATTTAATTAAGAATTGACTTAATAATTGGTATAAAAGTATGTCTTCAAAAAATACATGCTTATTGATATTGATTAGCAAACACATAGGCACATAAAGCATGTAAAATTCTTTGCAAAAGAAAACCATTCAAATTTTCCCAATTTTATTATGTTCTAACTGTCCCCTTTAAGAAGCAGGTATTGTCATATGAGGGTGGTCAATGCTTCTAAAAGGAATTATGTTTCTTAATTTTGTCATAGAAAAACTCAAGATGTGCTTTTATAAAGACCATGCTTTTTAAATCTCTAGCAATTGGTTTCAGCCACATTTCTAGGATCTTTGACTAAAACCCCCAAATCCATTATCTTCTCTTGAAACATTTCACTGGGCCTCACAACCTGTGTGGAGAGCCAACCCCGAGGGCCCGGGTTATCCCCAGTGACAGGTGTATCACAGAGTCCCATAATTAATGAACCAGCCTCAGAGAATCATCACCAAATAACAGCAGAGGATAAGGGTGAAGTCTCACAGTATCCACTGTTGGTTAAAGAGAATAAGGAAATCCTGTAATCCGTAACGCATGCCAATAACCATTCCACAGATGTGTAATCCAATTCTAACATATCTTGTAAAACACGATTTATGTCAATAAAAATACAGTGGGTCTGTCATAGAAACTGGGAAGGGAAGTGAAATGGTGAAATGATAAATATTCAACATATTGCAGATGATATTCTCCCTCTTCCTGGGAATACTGAGGCTTCTATGTTACTTGTTCACAAATGCTGTTGTCTCATGTCTGGGGATCTCTCAGCAGATCAAACGACCCTGCAGTTCGCCTACCTTATTGGTCCCTACTTGCCCAGACAGGATTCCATAGAATAAATGGATCATAAACAAGATCCCAAATGAAAAATATCAAGTAAATTAATTCATTTCCAGAAAAAAACAAAAAAACCACTGACACTGATGGACTGGAATAACTAAGCAACCTGTCCAAGAACTGTGGGATAGACTATAAAGACTGGACTTGTTTCCTGTATCTACATGACAGATGACACAGATGTGGTGGCTCAGAACAGCAGGAATCTATCCCCTCAGTCCAGGGCCCAGAGTCCACAACAGTCCCACTGGGCTGACATGGAGGCGTTGGCAGGGCCCCATTCCCTCCAGACGCTCTAGGGGAAGATCCTTTTCTTGCCTCTTGGGGCTTCTGGTGGCTTCAGCATGCCTTGACATGGGGCCCCAGAATTCTCAAGCCCTGCCTCTTTCTGTCTGGGTTTGAAAAATCTCCCTCTGCCTCTCCCTATTACATCGGTAATGGCATTAGGACCCTCCTGGGTAACCCACATAAGCTCTGAAAATCCTTAACCCAATACCGGCGGCAAAGATGCTTGTATCACACACTTACAGGGTCCAGGAATTGGGATGGAGATGTCTCTGAGTGGGGTGGGCAGAGGGGAGCGTTTTTAGCCTACCACACAAACCAGGACCACAGTTCAAGAATTTAAACCTAAGCAAAGGAAACGGTGAAAAGAAACCCAAGTTTTCCACAAGCCTCACACAATGGCCTCCTCAGGCCACAACTGTGCGGAGAGTCGCTCAAGGTCTCAATCACATTGATGTTTATAGACTGGCTGATTACCTACTTTTCAACAATCACTAATCAGTTAAGAAGCTGATCCCTCTACTATTTATCTAATAACAAAGATATTTATAATAGGAGGAAGCAATATTCTTACCTGACACTGACATGGGACAGAACATATCCTCTGATTATCCTTCAATGCTTTTTATCATAGCGTTGTAGCTTAAAAGTTGCCTGCAGAGCAACTGCTTTGGGTTTTGGTTTTTTGTTTGTTTGGGGTTTTTTTTTAATCATTCACAGGATATTGTCACTGACACAGTTACAAAAATGGAGGCAGCGTTTATTAAAAAAAAAATGTCAGGTGAAGCTCTGGGAAAATCTCAGGCCATCTCTGGGTCGCTGGTGCTGGGCTCTCAGCTGCTAATGTATGTAAATGAGCCCATCCAGAGGCCCAGCTGTTGTGTGTTGAAATGTGCTGATGAAACTAAATTGGGATTCTAGGGACCGCAAATCAAATTGTGAGCAAAATTACTGAAATACACCAGCCCTCCTCTGAAGCATTATAGGCCGACCTGAGAAAAATGACTAATAGGCACTGAGACACAGGCCTGACAGAAATCATAAGCTAGGAAGGAAGTTGCATGTAAAATATCAATAAAGAATATTAAATTGCCACCAGGTCCCACCAGAGACAAATGAAAATGGAACAGATTCTCACCATCATTCATTTACTCGGTTTCCTCCCAACTGTCCCAGGAATGTGCAGCTGAAGAAGGCTTTGACTCACATTCACTTGCTACTAGAAAGGAGTGTTTTCTCGGGAATGCTTCCAAACTGGAAAAAGCAGATGAGGGGCGCTGCTGTGAGACGGATGGGACCCGGAGAGGCATTCCACGGGCTCCTTCATCCGGGTGAGAAGACAAGCCGCCTTTATCCGCTGCTTGTAGAGAAAGTGTGCACTCTGCCCCACACACCTACAGTGGGATGGCTCCTCATTTCCCCTCTCATAACGCCATCCTCATTCTTCCAGTCGTACCCCACATAGCAGTGTCTTGATTAATGATGGACTGCATGTACCATATACCACAATGGTCCCATACGATCATAGGGAAGCTGGAAAATCCCTGTCGCCTAGTGACGCGGCAGCTGATGTGAGGTGGAGGCAGGAAGTAACGCGTTGCTCCTGTGTTTGTGTTCACACTGGTTTAAACAAACCCACTGCCCTGCCAGGCGTGTGAAAGTATAACACACAATTGTGCACAGCATATAACACTTGATAATAAAGGGGCAGGGGAGGCTGGGACGGGAAAAATAGACAAAAAACTGTACTTGAAAAATAACTAAATAAAATAAAAAAAAAAAAAAAAATAAAAAAAAAAAAAAGAAACAAAGAACCAAAAAAATAAATAAATAAATAAATATTAATGGACATCTAAAAAAAAAAAAAGAAATTACTACATTACTGTTTTATGTGTTTATTATACTGTGATCATTACTTTACTGTGTATTCTTTCTACTTATAAAAAGTGTTTACCGTAAAACAGCCTGCAGTTACCCCAGCCCCAGCCTCATACATCCCGTGTTAACCACGTCTCCTGATTGCATCATTTTCTCGTGTCCTTTAATCTCCTGTCGTCTATAAATTTAGCACAGCCCACGGATACAGTGCACACAAAGTCTGCAGTTGTGGACAGTAAGTGTTGTCCTCGGCTTGCACAGTCACTCACCGCTCCCTCACTGACTCACCCAGAGCCCCTTCATCCTCCATTCATGGTAAGTAACTTCTACAGGTGCATCATTTATCTTTCTTTTAAAAATATTTTGTTTATTTTTTAGAGAGAAAGGAAGGGAGGGAGAAGGAGATGGACAGAAACATCAGTGTGTAGTTGCCTCTTGAACGCCCCCAGCCAGGGACCTAGCCTGCAGGCCAGGCATGTGACCTGAATGGGAACCGAACCAATGACCTTTTGGTTCACAGGCCAGCACTCAATCCACTGAGCCACACCAGCCAGGGCTCATTTTTAATTTTTTAGGGTAACTTTACTGTACCTTTTCTATGTTTGGATATGTTTAGATGCACAAATACCTTTGTGTTACCATTGCCTGCAGAATTCAATGCAGTAACATGCTGGACAGGTTTGTAGCCCAGGAGCACTAGGCTGCGTCACATAGCCTAGGGGTGCAGTGACTAGGGTCTTCCATCAAAGTGTGTGTGTGAACTCCACAGTGTTCTCACAACAACAAAGTCACCGACAACACATTTTTCACAGTGTATCCCCATCAGTAAGCAGTGCATGACGGAGTATATAAAATGGGAAAGAATTTTTAATTGCTCATGTAACTTGATATTATTTTTACTCCTAAGCAATCCTTTTTATCACAAGGTAATTTGTGATGAAAGTTTAAGTCCAAAGCTCAGTTGCCGGTCACTAGTAGGAAGTGAGCCCCTGCCTGCCGGCTCTGCCTCATCATCAAAGTGTAGGCAAAACTCAGCTTCAGGCTCCTGGCATCCATCCTTTCAGCTGCGACCCACACACATCCCTGCAAAGGTCAGGTAGCAAAATGCTAGGACAGAGGACAAGCAGCCCCTAGTCACAGATGACAGCTTCTGTCAGAATATTGCTCAAGTCACCCCGTTTAGTCCTTCTTGGCTTTACTGACCAATTAGGACAGCAGTTCTCAGCCCTAGATGCACATCAGAACTATTTGGGAAATTGACTGCAAACATACTTGAAGTCCAGAACCCACGCCCAAATGCTCCAAGTGGTCTGAGGTGGTACTCAGGCATTTTTTAATTTACTGATTCCAATGTGCAAATGGGTTTGAGAACCATTGTTCTACCTGCTAGCTTCTGTTACTCTTTACCTTCCATGAATTTTGTTCAATACTCACCTACCCATGCCCACCATATATATTTTTTTTCATCTTTCTAGGACCTTGTAACCTTTATTTTGCTGCCTGAAGCTGTGGATCTGTCTTGTGCTTCTCCAGACTAGGTACCTTGTCTGCCTAGACTTTCAGGTCAGCTCTTTGCCAGGGGGTGGCTTCCCCTCACTTGCCCTGTAGAACACCCACCAACATGACAACAGTACCTAGCGAGCGTCTACCTACACGCCCACTTTCCCTCTTTCACTTTAGCCCATCTCAGCTCTGGCGATCACAACACCTTGTCCTCTGGGGACTCAGTAACATTCAGCATAGTTCTGTGCCATTAAGGTGCATCCACATTTGGAACAAGCCCCTTTCCATGACTGTGCCCTGGCCCATCTGAGCAGTCTTCTTCCTACCCCGTGTTCCCACAACTTCAGAGCTGTTACCATGTAGGGCCCGTTAACTGTTTGTTGTGGGAGGCTGTACCCATATATCAATAGGATGTTTAGCAGCATCCCTGTTCTGTGTTCACCAGACACCAGGTGCACTCTTCTTCCCCCAATCTGTGGCAACCAAAAGTGTCTCTGGACATTGCCAAGTGGTCCCTGGGAAGGGGGAAGAGTAGCCACACACCCACCCCATTGAGAACCACTGCTCTCTCTGTTGGTCCAACCTCCCAAACTACTTCGTCGGAGTTGGTTCCTCTGCCATCTGGTGTATGTGTTCCACCCCATTTCAGTTTCCACCCAAGTTTACAATCTGTTACTCTGAGATTCCTTCTTCCTCCAGAGCTGCTAGCCTTCAGCTTTGATTCAACTTCCCCAACGATGCTAGCCAGCAAAGCAGCTAAGACAAATTCTCCTGCCTGCTCGTCATCCTTAACCTTCCTGTTGCAGATGAATATGATTTCCATCTTCAATATTAAAATGGCTACACAAAAATTCACCAATTTTTGTAAGTTTTTTTAAAATGCATGCTTATATGACAGCTGTCACAATACAATCGAACAAATGTTTTGAATGAAGTTAAAGACAACTAAGTGCTACTAGAGCCATCTTACAAAAAAAAACACCCAAAGAACTGTTTGGCCAGCCCAGTAAAATGTGCTAACAGAGAGCACATAGACCAGTGCCTTTCTTGACATCAGAAATGCAGAGTTGGCTCCTAACCCTAAAAACACCCTCTTGCACAATTATTGATTCCTTCCTCTGACTTGTGGAATAGGAATGATTTTATTCTTGCAAAGCCTTTTGAAATTCCAAACTGAGTGGAATTTCATTGCAATTCAATCTGAGTAACAACTCAATTATTTGCGCTAATGGAGAGGGATGAAGCACTAAAATTAGAAAATTCACCCAAGACAAACCGAGGCACATACTGACACAAACACATTCTCAAATTTGAAGAAATGAAAAGGTCACCTCAAGTTATTTGACCGATTTTACTGTATGATTCATAACTCACCCAAATGAAGAATCGCTGATATAGTTGAGCATTACCTTGCTGGCATAGCCATCAGAGGGGTGAATTTCCATAGTTATTCATTATAATTGGAGGTGATTTCAGTAATGTTCTGGGAGTAGGTTTACAAAGAATTTTCATTCCCTTTGTAATTTTATATAGTTCTCATGTTGTCTTCATTGAACTCATTTTTATTGTGATAAAAGAATCCTAATGTACAATTTTCCATGTTAACCATTTGAACTGGGTAGCACCGTGACACTAAGTACCTTCGTGTTGCTGTGTAGCATCACCGCCATCCGCCTCCCGAACATTTTCTTCCCCAACATCAACAATTTTTAATAGATATCCCCTCCCTACTGACTGCTACTAATCCACTGTTTAGCATTTTAAGTTAATGTCCCATAGCTCTTTTGAAATAAATGTAAAACCCAAAGTGATTGGAGGACAGGACTAATAGAGGTTTATGAATTTGACTTTCATACATAGGAAGAGAATTCTCGTCTTTTCATTGTTCTGCTTCATACATTCCCACCATTAGGTACCTTACGGACTCTGCCCCTTTGTCTTTTCCTCAACAGCCCCGGAGAACTTCACACGTAGCTCCTGACTGTGTGAAGAGCGTCACATTGACAGAGTACATGGTCCTTGACGAGACAAGTATGTCTTTGTATCTGCAATATTAAAATTTCATTTTTAACAAATATACTTCACTTTGCTTTATAAGCTGTTATGGACATTGGTTAAATGATGCTCAGACAAAGGTATGCTCATCCAGTTTTTTTTTGAAGCCTTTAGCTTTTAGAATAGACCATCTTGTTTAAGAGATGCAAAGTATTAACCACTAAGGAAGACAGTTTCATAAAGCTTTATTAATAAAGTTTATTTTAGCCTCCCATAGCCCTCACTTTAATAGGAGAGATTCTCTTAGCTTCTCTAAGTCATGGTTTTATCAGTAAAGTTTATTTTAGCTGAACATATTCCCTAAAAATTATGGAAACTTCCTTGGAACATAACACACTCTCCCATTGCCACAAAAGTCCAAACCTCAGAATTAAGGAAAATGTTTCTTCACTGTTTGGGGTTTTTGTTTTGTTTTGTTTTTTTGTTTTTATAAGAACCACAGGCACTTTCGTTTTCTGAGAGACCAGGACTGAAGTAGATGGTGGTGATAATCATTGAACATATCTCCAAGATCAATTTCCTTCACAGAACTTAAACCATAACCTCCACGGAGCTCTAGCCCTCAGTTTAAAACTTCCCTGTAAGAAAAGGGCACGTCCCAATTAAAGGGCCGAGTTTCACATAGTTCCTCACTGCAGAGCGTGGCAATTTTAACTTCCAACTTTTTAAAGAGAGGGTGGCTCTCTTCTCTCTGCTCTTTCCTAGCTAATGACCATTTCTGGATCATTTCCTGTAGCTCAGTGAAAGCTAAAACCATCCTTTTAACTGGGCAGTCATTGCTAGATTTACCAGTTATGTCAACGTTTAAAATAGAGGGGGTTAAAGGCAAATGTCAAAAGACTAAAGCCCAAGACTCCTTTCACCTGTTAGATACTAAAACAGAAGTACTGATTTGCCGTACATGTCCTCAAATTGAGGAAAACCTAGAATTAAAATACATGATGATGAAAACAAAACGTTTTTGAGAATTCTCCTAAGACAGAAAAAAGAAACTCTGCTTTATAGAGGAGATATACAACAACAATATAATGAAGTTTCTCTACTGCGAAACTTTGTCATAATCAGTTTGGGCTGCTCTAATGAAAATACCATAGACCGAGTGGCTTAAACAACAGTTATTCCTCACAGTTCTAGAGGCTGGAAAGTCCAAGATCAAGTTGCTGGCAGATTTGGTGTCTGATGAGGGGCCACTTTCTGATTCACGGGTGCCTGCCTTCTCGATATGTCCACATGGAAGAAGAAACGAGATCTCTCTGGAGTCTCTTTTATAAGGGCACTAATCCCATTCGATGAGGCTGCCACCCCTCTGACCTCATGACCTGCCAAAGACCCCAGTTACAGATACCATCACACTGAGGATTAGAATTTCAACATATGAATTTTGGAGGAACACAAACTGCAGTCTATAATATTGTTGCTGTTTCTTCCTCACATTTCATTTCATTTCATTTCATTTTTATTGTTAACACTATTACAAATGTCCCCCACTTCCCCCCTTTGACCTCCCTCTACCCAGCCCCTGCCCTACCCCCTGACCTTCACCACATTGTTGTCTGTGTCCATGGGCTACGCATATACGCATATGTGTTCTCCAGCTAATCTCCTCCAGCCCTCCCCTCACCCCCTGCACTCTGAGATCTGCCAGTCTTTTCCATGTATCCATGCCGCTGGTTTTATTTTGTTCATTACATTCCACATATAACTGAGATCATATAGTTGTCTTTCTCTGCCTGATTTATTTCACTTAGCATAATATTCTCCAGGCCCATTCATGCTGTTGCAAAGGTAAGAGTTCCTTCTTTTTTACAGCCAGGTAGAATTCCACCATGTAAATGTACCCTAGCTTTTTGATCCACTCATCTACTGATGGGCACTAGGGCTGTTTCTAGACCGTGGCTATTGTAAATAATGCTGCTATGACATGGGAGTATATATAGTCTTTCTGATTAGTGCTTCGGGAGTCTAAGCATATATTCCCAGAAGTGGGAAGTAACATGTTCAAATGCAGTCGGATGAACTTTGACCTAGCAGCTATGTTTCTGACATCAACTCAGGGATAGAACTGTACTTCCAAAACACAGGGTTCTGAGCAGAGTAGGAAAAAAACAACATAACTGCTATTGTAAGGTCAGAGCATCTTTATGCAGGTCATTTATTTTTTTAAAAGTCCTTGCCACTGTCATCTGAAAAACCCACAACTCTCCCCAGCAGAACATTTGGAACAGTATACACCGCATTTCAAAGAGGTCAGATTTCTTTCCCCGACTCTTAAGAGGCACCTCTTGAAATTTTCCAGTTAATATTTTCAAAACTCTATAACAAATAGAAGCCCCAGAGAAAAGCCTATCATATGGCTGTCAGTGGACTTGACTTCCATTATAAAATCAAAACATTGTCAAGCATTTTGGGTGTCAAAGCAGCTGCCACCTAAGAACTATTCAGAAAAAAAAATACCCAAATCAGTTTAGGTCTCATCGTAATCTCTGCAACTGTCAAGTGGGAAAACAGAATGGTCACTTTTATGTATTTATTTATGAAACTATAGTCATAATTTTTCCAAAAATATATTTATGTATAAAGAGAGATTATTGATTCTTGGTTGTGTTACAAAAAAAGAGCAAATTTTAAGTTAGTCCCTTTTCTCCCTAATACTTAAAAAAGGAATGAATTAGTATGAGCATTCATCCATTTATTCAACAAGCTTCTATTAATAATCTATTATTTGTAAGGCACTATAGCAAGCTGTGAGGCAAACATAAATGGTCACTCTTTCCCCCTTCTGTGAATAGGCAACTAGATGTCAAAAGTGACTAAAGATTAAGACCCCATGATAAAGCAGAAGCAAATGACCCAAGTCACCCAGGAGACTAAATTTCTACTTTTATTCTGTTCCTCTCATTCTAACCTGTGATTTTTATTCAATGCTTTTAAAGAGGAAACGTAAAGGCTGAACAGGAAGATGCTTCTGCCCTTTTCTTCTGTATGGAGAAATGGGAGGCTCACTGTTACCATGGGTCTTCCCTGCACCAACCCAGAAAGTATTACAATGGAGAATAATAATGAGTTAATAGGGAATAACTTGTAAATAACTTTGGAAATGTTAGTATTACAAAAGTCCAAAAACTAATTATAAAATTTGCCATTATTATGCTTCATCTTTTTCACTTCGAAAGACACAGGAAAATCATTCTCAGTTAACTATTCAATGTATTTTCTAATTGCGGAGGAAAAGGTAATATTCATAAAACTCCAAACATGTGAAATGTTTAAGGTCCAACAAGGCTGTTTTCTGTGATATCTGGTTGTTCCAAAAATAAAGGCCCTGTATCAGGTAGTTCATCATTTCACTCTGTTGTTTAAGGAAAGGAAAACATACCCAAAAGGAGAGTGCTCTGTCCAGAATATATCAGAGGCTCAATTAATGACTCTTGGAAGCTGAAAAAACGCAATGGTATTTCAGGGTTCTCGATGCATTAAAATGGATGCTCCATAAAGTACTTACTAAATAAACAATTCATTAGATTCCTCTAAAGACTTCATGTCTCTTGATGATGAGATCTAGGGATTAACAGAAGAAAAGAGTTTTTCATTGAAACAAGGTGCTCCCCAATATTACTGCAAACACATCTCATGTAAAACTTTATAAGGGGTTTGAAGGGGAAAGTGAACAAACCTCACCCCACCCCTGCAGCCAGGTGTTCTGCATGTGGTTAAATGCACATAGACCACCCACACGCCGCTGCCTGGATGGTTTCTAACTTCCTCTGCCAGCCAAACCCATCCCCCGGAGCCCCAAGTGCTCTTTGCAAAATGGAACTCTCTGATTATTTCACACCTTGTTTAAAATTCTTCAGTAAACCCTGAAACAAATGCCCAAATTGTTTGATATGGTTTATGAGACTGGTCTTGCTCCGACTCTGCCTCTTCAGCTGTTTTTTGTTTGGCTTTTCAGGGTTTTTTTTTTTGTTGTGGGAGTGTTTTTGTTGTCTTTTTGTTTGCTGTTTGGTGGGTGGGGAGCTAGTTTTGCGATGGCGTTCTGGTTCTTGCTGTCTCTGGTTTTTCCTCACTAAGTGGGCCAGTGCTTACAAGGCCCCTTCCCTTCCTCTTCTTCACCTTTAAGTCTCAGTTCTGCCATCTCCTCCTCTAGCAAGCCCAGGAGATAAGCTAGGTATACCCCCTTCTTACTCCTGTAATTAATTACTATCTTAGCACAGTACTGCTAAGTTCTCCTTATTTAGCTCCCTTACTCATTCTCTGTGCTTACTCTTTTCTGTGTTCCTACCAGATTGGCACAGCCTGGCACACAATAGGTACTCAATAGTTTTTTTTTAATGGATGCGCTATACATGAGGGGAAGCTGCAGAAGCCAAGTTAAAAATTAACGGCCTAAATTGGCCCTAAACACCTCCTGTCTACATAGCCCCATAGGTCAGTCTTAGGAGACCCGTGGTGCATTCCAACTCCAGAAAGGACATTGACCTTGAAATTTCTCATGAGCAGAGTAAAGCAGAACTGAAGAGACTCACATTTCCCCTAACCTAGCCATCAAAAAGCAAGCCCCCTAAAGAATTTCTGACAAACTAAGATTAACATATCAATTGTAACAGCAAATAAAAACATAAATTATCTTTGGGGAAAAAAATAAATAAAAAAGTAACTTGAAAAAAGGGGAAAAAATAAATGATAAGTAAAGCCAAAAAAAAAAAGCAAGCCCCCTCAAAGCCCCCTCATCTGCCAGCAGACGTTCTCAACCCATCACCACCACCATCACCACCACCATCACCACCACCATCACCACCACCATCACCACCAACTTCTTAAAGGAAAAGAGGCCAAACATCCCTGGGAGTCTATAAATTCAGAGTATCTTTAACATTTATGGTTTTGTCTTTTAAATCCATGTAAATTGTTATTCTTTTCATAAAATGAATCTGATCTCTATAAATCATTTACCAGTTAAATGACTTATACTCATGCACGGCATGGG